ACACACACACACACACACACACACACACAAGCTCCTAGCAAATTGTTTAGAAACGCATCCATGGAACTTCTAAGAAGGTCTGCAAATGCACGGAGTTTACCAGGACTCATGACCTACTCGTTAATTGGCTGCTGAAGGTCGTCTTGCCTGATTGACATTTGAAATTTTTTTCAGGGTTTTCGTACCCATGCAAGCCTACTAAATTGCGACGGTTACCAATAGCCAAGGCTCAATAGTTACTTTCGTTTAGTTTACATAAGAGTATCTCTGCAGTTGCAATACAATTTCTTGTAGATCCAAGTGCCGAATGTTAAATGTGTTACAAGAAAGTAACAAACTCAAAAAAGGAGGAGAGATAAGGACGACAGTCTATAGATATTTGATACGAAAGAAGGAGCAAAAGAAGGAGCAAACCACACCAGAGAGCACACGCCAGCCACGCGCATGGTTAGTTAACCTCCTTGTTAGTAACTCATTTCATTCAAAGACTTGAAAGAAAAGAAAGATGGTTTATTTAGTGGTTCTGGTGTGGCTTGCTCTTTTTTCCTAACAAACATCTATCGCCCTTTTCTCTGCTCCTTCGAATCTTTTTTTTTTTGGGGGGGGGGGGGGGGTACGTCACTATATATCTAGTTATAGGCCCACCTCTAATCTTTGGTACTTATAAGACTTAATTGTGTCAAAAGCGCGGTAAAACTTACACAAAACAAACGTTAAACAAGAGATGCTGTCAAAAGTGGATGGGAATAAGGGATGCGCTACTACCATACCACCGGAGTCGAAAGAGCCCAGGAAGATACATAGATATACATGACGTAGTACCAAAATGAGAACTAATATTAAGTCAACTACTTACAACTAACAGGTGTTGAAACCATTCACTTAAAATAGCTTGACAGCTTCTCACCTCCCAACAATGTTGCAAGTGCTGTAAAACTATTCATCATCATCATCAATGCCTTTCACCCCTGGTAGGGTATAGGCCACATACAAGCTCCTTCCATTTATCTCTGTCCTGAGCCATCCTTCCAAGCTCGTTCCAAGTGAGCTTCATCTCTCTCATGTCCCTTTCCAC